ATTTTATACAAATTCAAATTGTATATAATCGTTCCATACACTTATAATAATACAATTCGTTTTTATACAGTTCTCTGTCCAAGTGTCTTTCTCTTTCTTGTTTTATACAATTTGCTTCAACCGTATATGTATAGCGAATTATACAGTTTTTGTGTTTGATATGGAGCGCAATTATGCAAACTTTGTTATAGCATACAAATATAAATTTTTTATTTGCTATATGTGAAAGTTGCCCAATTTTAAATTCATCTCTCTTTTAAATAACAGTGGTACCGAATGGGGTCAACCAGGCATAAAATCGTGCTCGGGACAGATGCGACCGCTAAACGGATCGATGTATCCGGCCGGTCTACCGCCATCGTTGACAGTGCAAAAAAATGTATTACGAACGATTAAAAAGGAAGTGACATTGCTTGATGTAACTAATCTTTCGTTATTACGTAAAGATGGACATCCTTCAATTTATGGAATGAATGGAAGAAAAGGAATGGATTGTAGTCATTGGTGCCTAGCAGGAGTTCCTGATACTTGGAATGAAATATTATATAACCTTGTTATGTGATTTGCTATATATTATGCACGATGTAATTGTTTAAACAGTTATATGAAATTATAAAAAAAACGAAAAGAATTAGTTTGAGTCTTATAGTCTTAAATGAATTAGTTTGAGTCTTGTAGTCTTAAATGAAGAAAAACATAATTGAATAATGTGATTTTAGACGAGTTGTGTTATACATGTAATGCCGCTACTAGTAAAATGAAATATTGAGATTAAAAACTTTGTAAATATAGAAGATTAAATTTTAAAAAGAAGGGAAACACATAAAGTTTGAAAAATAAAGAGATAAGTGCAAGGTAATTGTTCTTTTAAGAACTAAAATACGTAAATTGAAATAGAGGAAATTAAGTACAAGTGAATTATTTTTTTATTGCATTATGAATATATAGATTTTTCTCATGATTTTAAGAGGACATTGATCAGTCTTAGATGATCCTTTTTAAACTCAGTGACACATTTTAATCCTCTTCCGTTACTTAGAAAAAGTGAACTATCAATTCAAATACAAGATATTATCACTACCGCCTGAATAATTAGACATCCTTAAATATTATTTTCTAAGTTTATATTGGTATTATGTTATTGTTTTTGTATAGGGTCAAGGGATGACATGGTTTAAAATCATAGTAATTAAATAATTAAATCCACACAAATAAGGTAAAATATTCGATAGTCAATTATCTATAGGGTTCAAAATTGAAAACAGATTTTAAAAATTTATGGTCTTATATACACATATTGTTTGTCATAGTATTTGTGTGGTTTAACATACTTCTAAAACTCGTGATATTAAACATGTTAACTATTTGTGTGGCTAAACAAACTTGTTAATAATGGTAAAATGAAATGTTCAAGAAAATTTATTTTTATATTTAAAAATAAGTTTATCTTTTAAACATACAAAAAAAAAATATCACTCGTAAACAAGAACAAATTAAGGAAATTATAAATAAGTAAAAAGGGCAATATCACTTGATAACCAAATGTGAAATGAATAAAGAAAACTATATATATAACTTTGCTTCGAAGTATCAATTTTATAAATTGCTGAAACTTCCTACAAACAAATCGTAAATATCAAGAAATAATAATTAGAGCATTTATGCTTTACCTAAAGTCACTACATAAAGTGAAAATAATTATAAATTCTACCAAATAAATATCATGTCCCAACAATATATACATCACCAATATTGATCCAAAAATAATCCTTCAAAATTTTTAAAAAATTTCCTTTTTCCAAAAATTTTTTTTTTCTTCCCTCTTAATTCCTTGATGGAAACAAGAAAATATTTCAATTTTATTTGTTTAATTTATGCTATTTTGTGCCTAAATTATGAGTTAACTAGTGCTGTTGTACTATTGAAACATTTAAGTCACTCAAGAGGATCAAAATCAAACAACTCATGTGATTTATTTCAGGGCAATTGGATTTATGATAATTCATATCCATTTTATAATTCATCTATTTGTTCTTTTATTGAAGGACAATTCAATTGCCAAGGAAATGGAAGACCTGATAAACTCTATCTTAAGTACAAATGGAAGCCTAATTCATGTGAATTGCCCAAGTAAGTTTATATATAGTATCATCAATTAATTAAGTACTCATTGTGGCTTATTTGCATTAATAATGAGAGGTCGATCCTGAATTTTGAGTTTATACATCCTGAATTATATATGCGAGTGATAATTACAGATTCGACAGAATTCAGTAATTTTGACTCAAACTTTATATTTATATTATAAAATTCATTCAATATGTACATATAATCTATATCCAGAACCCACTAAACAAAGAATTGTGTATCATGAAATTAAGTCTATAAACTAAATATCCTCACTAAGCTTTTGATTATACAAATACAGAATTTTGGCAAAAGTTATTGGAGTTTTGTCAAATCTATAGCGAGAACTCTAGTAGAGAGGCGCGCAAGAGGATTATTTTAACTCGATAAATGGCAACTCCCCATGATTAGAAGAAGATTTGAGAAACGTAACTTTTTTTTTGTTAGTTAATTAATTGTAGTAGTCGCGGAAAGGAATTTGTATATAGGCTATTTTCTTTCTTTTAATTTGTTGAATTAGTCTTTTTTACTCGTTAAAAACAAGATTTATATCTCCTTTAATCTATTGAAGGTACTTTTTTTTATATATCACATGGTAAGAATCTAGCCTAGATCCCACACCCGTAGGCTCCCAGTCTATTGGTGTTGGGTTTTGTTTTTGTTTTGAAAAAACTCTAGTTCAGTCTTTGATTAAATTAAAAATTCTATATATTTATTTTTGTGAACAGATTTGAAGGATTGGATTTTTTGAAGAGGGTGAGGGGGAAGAAAATAATGTTCATAGGGGATTCATTGAGCCTTAATCAATGGCAATCACTCACATGTATGTTGCATGCAGCCTTTCCCAAGCTCAACTACACACTCCAAAGAAAAGGAGATATTTCCAATTTTGTTTTTCAGGTAAAGTTTAACGAAAACTGTTTAAATATGTCATTAAATTTAATGAATATCTTCACATATATTTTTTGTTTATAATTTATTTTGAATATATCCAATGGTTATCAATTTGGACCATACATGTTATTTATTCATTATATCACGTGGCATTATCTAAACATTTTGTTACTTATCAATTCTCTTCTCTCCTCTCATCATGTTTACGAGTAGTATATATGAACCTTTTCATAAATAGTTGATTTTGAATATAATGTCCCAATTTTCACTATAAGAAAACATGAAATTAGCTCAAGAATTTGTCGATAGTTCCTAGCTTATTATAGGTAAGCTACAATTTTAATTATTAAGTTTAATTACATATTTGAATTTTTTACAAATATAAATGTACATATAATAATTTGTTCATAATTATAATTACATTTGGGAATTTGTGGCAGGACTATAATGTTTCTTTGATTTTATCACGAAATGCATTTTTGGTAGATTTGGTAAAAGAGAAAATAGGAAGAGTTCTAAAGCTTGATTCAATCCAAAACGGCGACGCTTGGAAAGGATTCGACATGCTCATTTTCAATACTTGGCATTGGTGGCTCCACAAGGGAAGCCAACAATCGTAAGTTTTACTTGATTAATCTCGTTTAAATTTGAATGGGTTAATAACACGTCTATTTATATATTGGTCAACTTGCTTCGTTTCACGCCCAAGGGCATATATAATGTATTAGCTATGAGTTTATTTAAATTTATAAATTTTAACATACGATTGTATATATATATGTTAATTTTTTTACAATATAAATATTAAATTTTAAAATTAATAACTTATATATTTATATTTTTTCTTCACTAACCAAGTGTGCCTCTAATTTAGTCCAAAACATTTTCTTTTTTACATCTCAAAATGATGAAATTTATGTATTTAAATCAGATGGGATTTTATACAAAAAGGAGATCAAATATATAAAGACATGGATCGTTTAGTGGCCTTTAAAGAGGGACTTAAAACTTGGTCCAATTGGGTAGAATCATATATTGATCCAACCAAAACAAGAGTATTCTTTCAAGGCATTTCTCCTACACATTATAGGTACTATATACTTTCTCTGTTCTTATTTATATGTCTATATTTTAAATTTTACGTACACTAAAAAAATTAAGTAAATTTATTATTCTATTTTTATTTAATGTTTTCTTTGAATTCAAGTTTTTAATCAATAAATATAAATTAATTTATTTTAATTAATGAATATGAATTATTTACTTAATTTTTCTGTATTGGTTAAATATGTATTTTCAAAGCTAATAACTGAAGGGAAAATTAAAATAAAAAAAATAATATCATTTATGCATTGATTTTGTAAAATAACAAATATTAAAAACCATATATTTTTAATAAGAACGATATACAAATAGAGACAGAGGAATATTCTTCGGTTTCCTTTTTGATCCTACCATTATAAATATATAATTATTGTATATTTGATTTATACATTAGGAGTACCATTTATGTAAGTTAGGAGTACCATTTTTGTAAGATTTAGTAAGAGTTGAACAGATTAGGTCATGACCATTTTTTATTTAACCATATTGGCTTCACTCATCATAGCCTAACTAATTTTGATTATGATTTTGAAAAATCGTTCATTTATTAATTCAGCTCATTTTAACTCGTACAAATTTATTAAATCAGTGGGCAAGAATGGAATGCTAGCAAACCAAGTAGCAATTGCAATGGAGAGACACAACCAATTAGTGGCTCAGTGTATCCTGGTGGACCAATGGCAGCAGCAACAATTGTGAAAGAAATTATTGGCAATATGTCAAAACAAGTGACATTACTTGACATTACATTACTATCTCAACTAAGAAAAGATGGACACCCTTCAATTTATGGTATGAATAATAATAATAATAATAATAATAATAATAATAATAATAATAATGATACAAAGATCAAAAAGGGTAATGATTGTAGTCATTGGTGTCTTGCTGGTGTGCCTGATACTTGGAATCAACTCTTTTATGCTCTTCTTCTAAACCAACAAACCAAATCATCAAATACTATATGACAAAAATATGAAGGTGTATAACAATCCAATTCTTGTTTTACTTTTTGTTTTGAAATTATTATGATTACAGCTAGATATCTCAAAACTTTATTCTTTTTACTTATATGATTACAGCTAGATATCTCAAAACTTTATTCTTTTTACTTAATATAAGTCATGTTTTACTTTCACACAATATTTTTTAATATCCAATATACTTCGACTCGAAAAAAAAAGGGTAAGAGAATAACAATTGCACGAAGAAGGCTATATCTTAGCGCACTTTATCTCTTGCTCGTTTGCATCACACTGATTAATAAGATAAATAGAATTTCACTCGCTTTTTTAAGTGATATAAATTAAAATTTTCTTCAATAGGCAAATAAGAGAAAAGTCTGATAGAGGTTAAAGAGACAGAAACTCAAATGACATGGTAAAAAAAAATGAAAGTATTCTTAAAATTATTTAGACAAATCAATAAATATTTAATTTATATTTGTACGTACATAAACTTCTTGATTTAGAACAAGGTAGTTTTAAATGAAATGTTTGTTGTCTACCTAGCTAGTAATTATTTATATATAAATTTTTTGACTAATATACATCCTGCATGTCTGATACTCCCTTTCATCCAAAATAAATGAATTTGCAATATTCTCTATGGTCCAAAATAAATAATTTTCTCCAAATTCAAGGAAATATATATTAAGTATTTTCTTCCAAAAGTGCAACTTCTTTTTAATTCATTACCAAATACCAACTTCCTTGAAAATTATACCACGCTCCAAAAAAACTATATTATTATTATTATTATTATTATTAATTATTAATAATAATAATAATAATAAAAAATTGTTTGTCTTTATACCAAACCAATGTGCCTGATAGTAATTAGTACAACAGTTTTTACCTCTAGGGAATGATTAGCAAAACAATTATATTTAGTCAGTTGGTAATCATTTATGTTAAACGATGCCACTTACGACAATAATTCACTAAACTAATGGAAAAATACATTAGGCTTCTTTTATTTAAGAGTAAATTCTGATAATCAGATGAATGATTAGCATAGCCTCATAGACCTTAATTAGACTAGCATGTCATTATATTAAAATTAATTAATTAAATAAAAGCATATATGATTGTCAAATATTTTTGATTTATGATATTTCCTACTCTTGGATTTGAATTACCACGTTTTATTATTAATAATACAGACAAAGCTCCAAATTCAAAATGTTTTATGTTATGTTAAATCAGTCACTATCCCATGAAAAAAAAAGTTCAAAATATATTTGTATTTAAAGTAAATATTTATTTTAATATATATATTTCTAAAGGGATTAGGTATATATCATGTACGATGTTTCAACTAAACATTTTAATTATTTATTTGATTTGTTATTTTATGTACGTGCTAATTCCTATTACCTAAAGGCTACATAAAGCTATGAATTATTAATATATGGAAAAATGACATTTTAGTCCCTATATTAAGGCTAATTTCTTATTTTAGTCCTTGTGTTATCTAACTTAGTACTATTGACCTATATCAAGGGAGTGATTTTAATCCTTCAACTAACAGATCCGAAAAAGTTAACAGAGCGTTCACGGCTAAAAGGAGTAATTCGAGTATTTTTAAAGTTATTGCTTGAGAAAACATACAACTTTTAAAAAGAATTTTCGCTGTAAATCTATTGTTCGTCGATGTAAGAGGGAGAGCTAAAGCTTATTAAGTTGGTTTTGTTGAAATTGTAGCTCAGATTGATGAGCTTGTTCTTCAAGATAGAGACATGAAAGACTTAGCTTGTTTTTCAAAAAGAGAGAATTAAAATGAAATATCCGAACTATCCCTTTTAGCAGTGAACTCTCTGTTATTTTTTTTGAATATGTTAGTTGAAGGATCAAAATCACTCACTTGACATAATTGAAGGTTAATAGTGCTAAGTTAGATTACACAAGGACTAAAATAAGAATATAGCCTTAATACAGGGACTAAAAAATCATTTCCCCTAAATATTCATAATTGGTTTATGATCTCACCAAATTCAACTAATTAATGAAATTAAGTATGTGTCTTGATATGACGTCTTCTTAATCAAATTAACAATATTTAACCACTTCTTTAGTATTTATTTTGTAAATACAGAAATTAAATGAAACATTTGAGATCTAAATGAAATTAATTATGTAATATGCCAATATATCAAAACGAAAGAAGTAAAGGGTAAAACTTATGTGCATCATGTGTTTAATTAAAATCTATTATTAAATAAGTACTTGGTATGGGTAAATTTTACCATCTATGATGCATCTCTTTATTTGGTTTATAATATTAAAGAAATAATTAAATATTTAAGTATAAAGGATGACATCTAAAATTAAAAAATATATAATGGGGTCCAGAAGGAATCTATATTTTATTCTCGTCAATTTTAAGAAAATAAAAATGATATCCTTGTGCAAACTTAATTTTAGACGCCATTATTAAATCTCTTTTGGTAGATTCGGAAATCTAGTGATGACAAGGCTATTGTATTTAATTAATACTACAAACTTGATATTTAATCGCTATAACTTTTGTCCATAAAATTGAATTACATTTTCTATACTTATTTTTAGGGAAGATACGAAATTCGAAGATTATAATAGAAAGAGAGTACGTAATGAAAAAGAGACAGAAATTAGTCTTTTTTTTGCCTTATTTAGTAGTTTTACCTAATATCCATGTCAGGGGCGGAGCTACCACCTACCTTGTCTGTAGGGATTCGAATGAAAGTTATATTATTTATACATGGTTAAATAACTTTTAATGTATATATAGTAGATGTCGAATTCCCATCGGCTATTTATTTTTACACGTTTTGAACCCCTTATTGAAAATCCTGGTTCCGCCTTTGATCCAAGTATCTTATATTTTCATTTTATATTGTTATTTGTTTTCTAATTTTCTTTATACCAGACTAGTTTATTATCATTATTTTTCTAGTATCTTGTTTGAGATGAAGATTTATCAAAAAAAAGATATTTTTGTTTGATAAAAGTAGATAAATAAGATATACATATTTTATCTCTCAAATTATTTTACTGGTGAAATTACATTATGCTATCATTCCAGAAATTGTTACATGTGGTAAATTTTACCATAGAATAGTAAGTTATTGTGTATTTTACTCTATTTTATCTGTGAGCTATTGATTTATTTATTTTTATCGTCAACACCTCAAACTTTAAACTTCTTTATATTCTCCACTTTTGAATCAAACCATTTAAGTGTGGTCTTGATACATAAACAACAACAACAATATCACACATATTATAATCATAAGGTATAAATATGTTGACTGTTATGTATATGCTAACGTTACCTTTTTGTTTTTGTGAGCTTATATAGATTTTATTTCTGATAAACTTTATAGCAAAAGAGCAAAGGACTTATAAGCAAGGAAGCTAACAAATACTTATATACATTGAAGAATAATAAAATATACGATTACTAAATAATATTAAATATTAAAAAATAGAAAAGAAAAATCTCTCTCATATGTTTCCACATTAAAAGTATTAATACTTGACTATTTATGATTCTTTTATCATAATCTTTAATCTTTATATTTTTTATTTAGGGTCATATTTTCAGTAGACCGAAACTATGATATATCTTGATTCTTGTCTAATGAAAACTCAAAGAGGCACTCTTTCGATTAATGATATCAAAGTATCTATCAAGGGATTGTTAAAAAGTTTAGAAGGACATATAATTAATTTATTGGAGTGGTGGAGGGTAATACAATTTAAAATTTACACATGCATAATATAATTGACACTTGTGCAAATTATAGAATTAAATTGTGAAGGAGTCTTTCTCAAGATTCTTTAAATTGGAGAAAATCAACTAGCCAAATCAATAGATTTTGCTTCTACTTAGAAGTAATCCAAAACTTAATTAGTGCCCTAAATTATTTTTTTTTGGATATGTGCGTATATTCCTATATAATCTACTAAATACTATAAATACTAATCTATTAAATATTTAAATTTTATAAAAGTTAAAGACAAACATTTAAGTTGTTAGAAAATTGTTGATCCTATTTAGCAGTGTGTAATTGGTCTCTTAAGATTTAAGAATAATTAAATAAGGATAATACAAAATATATATATATATATATATATATATATATATATATATATATATT